GTAAGATAAGGCAGCAGAGCCAGGAGATGTTGGTCGTAGGACAAACCATTGAGGTGATGGTCCTGATGTTGAAAGCGCCATCCATTCTTAACTGGCGATGCCCCTTCGGCGGAAGAAGAGACTTTGAGCAGCTGCTGCACCCGGTATACTGTGGAGGCTCGCCTTAGCGCCTGCAGGTCGAAGTATTGAAGGTCCAGTTGCTTGTCATCGTGCAGACGAAGATTGACAGGGAAGTAGTCCGAGCCCTGGCCTGGAGCATACGATGGCTGTGACTGCTCAATGCCTGAGAGTAGGCGTGGAGTTGACGATCGCATGAGAAGGTGTAGATGCGACAGGGCGTTAGCAATCATAAAGTGCACCTCACCTTGGCCGAAGTGGCGCGTCAGGTACGTCCAGATGCGCTGGGTGGTAGGTTCCGCATCTTCGAGCTGGAAGGAGTTCTGGCCAGGGCCATCGTTGGTGTAGTCTCGAATCGCCTGAGAGATGAAGAGGAGCTGGCGCTTCTGATGGTACGTCAGAGTAGGAGAGCGAGGCTCTGTCAGCATCATCTCTTCATGCTTCCGTTTTGCGGCCAAGTTTCGAGGTGCGATTTTGGGAAGGTAGAGCCGCAAGTCTCCCATGTGCCGGTGAACTTTCTCCGCGAGCAGCTTCAAGAAACTGCAGGTGCGCGAGGCTATCCGTATCTGGCGGTTCAAGTGTGGGATCGCTTCTCCCGCAGGGGTGCGTGAGGATGCCAGGTCCAGATTGCTTGCTGCGGCGGCACCAGATGGAGTTGTAGGGTAAACCGGCAGCGGTAGGAATAGAGACTCAAGAAGTACCTCCATTGCCTGTTCTCGGCTGAGAACGGGGTGAAGGTCTGCCATGGGCCTAGGTGGAAGTTCGCCAGGAGGGGACCTCACTCGTGCGAACCTGAGGGGAAAACTTTGCGAGAAGAGCTGTGCTTGTGAGGCTTGACGTGGAAAGATTGGAGCTACAGGCTTTTTCCCCGCAATTTGGGAAGATAGTGCAGCGAACAGGAGGGGACCTCACTCGTTTGGAAGTCTGTGGTGCTCGAATGGTCCCTAGCCCCGAATTTTGTCGTCTAGCGTCTGTTTCAGACGTTGACGATGTCGAACGAGGAGCAGTGTCAGCGCCACAGCAAAGTTCTTATAGTCATCATAGACCTGGTCATGGAGCGGGGAAAGAATTGTGATGACTCCTTGTGCCTGCTCGTAATCTCCTTGGTCTCCTCCATATCTGTGTCGTATTTGTTGCCAGAGACTGTCAGCGAAGTAGCGATGCAGAGTATCTCTAGGTAGTAGCTGATTCACTACCAGGTTTCGCACCCAATGGAAGTCCTCATCGGACAGAGGGGTGGACAGCCATAGGCGATACAGTGTCAGGATCTCTCGAAGTGTCTCCTGATAGTGCGGGATCATTGAAACCAATTTGGTGTGGTAGTCCTCGTAGTCAAGCTTTGAGAGATCACGGTCTTGTTCAAGGAAATCCCAGCCATCTCGGATCTGGTCGCTGGCCGATGTAGGTGTGGAGGCCGTAATAGTCCGCAGTTGTTGTAGTAGGCGAAGCTGAAGTGATGCTCTTTTGAGCGTTCTGAAATCATATGCTTCAAGATCAAGCTGATGTGGGTCTTGAAGCCGGAGGCCTAGGGGGAAATATGCTTGGCCTTGCCAGGTCTCCGCCGTCGTTTGGGAATGCAGCTGGAGTAGGTTCCGTTGATGTGCTGGAGTGAATTCAGACCTCAGAATGACCTTGGCTTGCTCCAAAGTGCGGAGCAGAATGGCATTCAGCTCTGATTGCGAGAGCTTCCCGGTAAGATAATGCCAGGTTAAAGCACCAGCCTGATCAGCTTCAGACGTGCTCAAGGACGGCGAGCCTTCGCCGTCTTTTGTGTAGTTGTGGATCATGAGGGTGAGGTACATGATTTGCTGGCGCTGGAGGGACCCCATACTCCGGGGTAGGTGCGTCGAAGGCTGCTCGTCGTCAATGTGCTTGCGCTTACCTGCCAAGATACGTGGGCTAGCCTCTAGGGGCAGGGCTGTGTGTCTGCCCTCGCGCCAAGCCAGGTACCGATCCAAGTGACATATGAAGCTGCAGAGACGTGATGCTACTCGCATGCTTCGTTCTGCCGTGCGTTCAAGGTCTTCTGTAGTGAAGAGGAGCCTCCTCGGGGCAAGATGAGTTGTTGCGAAGGCTGATGTGGCCATGTGCTCACTGATGCCGTCGGGTAGGTAGATGGTCAGTGGGACGTGGAGCGACTTCAGGAGAATCTCGAGCAGAATCTCGCGAGACGGTGAAGGCATGGCTTGTTTGCTAGCTGGATGGAGACCTCACGTGGCCAGCCTGTGCGGAGAGGCTGAGCCCGGCTGTGGCAAGCTTCAATGAAAGCAGAAAGCTGCAGACTTGAATGTGTTACTAGGTGAATCAGCCAAGGCTGAGGCATTGGCTCTGCAGCAGGCTCCAACTATCTGCAGAAAGACCTCATTGCCGGAGAATGCCGCTGTGATCTTAGTGAGAAGGGACTGTGCTGCAGTTGGAGATGGAGACTTTTCCGCTGCTTTATCTTGGCTTGCTAAAGGCTGCTGGTGTCCTAGTTAGACAGAGACGTTGCTAACCTGGTGCTCTACTTTGCAGGAGGTGACCTCACAAGCAAAGTTGCTAGCAGGCTAGGGTTCAAAAAGACGAAGGAAGGACTGGTGCCTCTCGTGCGACAAAGTACGATGAAGTGATCGAGCCCGTTGGCGGTTCGGGGGAGTGAGCATCTTATAGACGATCGCAAACGGCTTGTACTCCTCGTAGACGTCGTCATGTAAAGGATTGATGATTTGGTAGAAGCGAAGAGCCATGCTATTTTGGTAGTTCGGAGTAGAATCAACACGGCGAGGAGACTCAGCACTGGCCTGAAGTGTATGGTTTACCTGCTTGAGGAGAGCATGCTCGAAAAGTTCGCGGAGTTCTCCTCTCGAGACTGCCGACTCTAAAAGTGTGTCACGGGCCCAGGCCGTCTCCTCTTCAGTGATGTCTCGTAGGAGCCA